CATTTAAACCACCACTACTTAACATTTCATCTAGGTCCAAATCAATACATGGTGTATTAATTATGTGACATATATACACATCAATAAAATCCCCATCCTTNGTGACATATATACACATCAATAAAATCTCCATCCTTAAGGTCTTGACAGAAAGCTAACACATCAGCATCATATTTCAGAAATCTAAATTCTCCTTTTTGGTTAATTTTACATGCATATTTATCTACTGTTAAGTACCCCATATCCTTAGCCCAATCATGAAATTGAATTATATGTAATTCATCAATGTCAGCTTGAAGAACAACTGACCAAGTTTAACCATTTACATACCTCATAATTGGGTCAGCCACTAACCACCCTAGATGATGAAACTGTAATTTCACATTGATAGCCATTGAAACCTATAAAAAAAGGGGGACAAGTCAGATACACTTTAACCCTAAAAAGCTATAAACTTTAACACAATGGGAGACAAGAATATTTTGATATTCAAAAAAGACCTAATTTTTTTACCCTAAATGTCATATCACTCATGAAAAAGACAAACCCCTAAAATAAAGTGAACGTACGACTGTTTTCCCCAAAACCCTAATATAAAATCCCATAATTTGTGCATGCAGACAAAAGCCCTAATTTTTTAACCCCAAATGCCAGATCAGTCATGAAAAAGACAAAAAAAAAACATAAAAAAGTGAATATTCGAGTGTTTCCCCAAATATAAAATCCCAAAATGCGAAATGACTTCCACTATATCAAATGAAATATTATGCATGCAGACATACATAGCTTTCACATTATTTGAATCACATCAAACATTACCCACATTGTTTCACAAGAAATTAGAAGACAAAGATGAAAACGACATCAAAAGAAACAAATTAACCTTCAGAGACTAACGTGACTGAAATCGAAAGCTCAGACGAATCTCGATCAGCTTTTCATTAAAAGAGGAGGGATCCCAATCGTTTGGTTTTGGAGTGATTAAGATTAGTTTAGAAGGAGATGACCAGGTTAATCAGCCATTGCTTAACCTAGATTTAAGAGGGGAGGGATGGTTAGAGAGAGGAAAAGAGACAAAAAGTGGGGGAGGGTTTTTCGGTGTACTGATTAAAAGAGGGGGACCCCAATCGGTTGGGTTTAATTTCACGCCATTGACGTGTACCGGTCTCATTGGTCATTTGCTGACTGGATGGACACGTTAGCAAATGTGTAATACACGCGCCTAGGGTCAAGGACAAATTGTATTTATTTGTTATAAATTTCAGGAGTTTGAGTGTTTAAATGGGAAAGACAAAAGTTTATGTATCGGCTTTTAAAAGCCCTACAAGTTTGAGTGGTCAGGAAGCCATTTCGCCTTTTTTAAATACTGTTTGCATAACATAACACAAGCTAAGTACATGTAGTTACACTTTTAGTAACATCCCCACCTGTAATTACAGGAAATTATATACAACAAAGAATTGTAAGACTGTTTAATCAGAATACAAGATATTGACTACAACGGCACTTATCGGTTTATTTCTTCGGTCAAGTATTAATAAGAAATTAACTACTTTGTGGTTTTCCATTTTCTTATTAAATTTATTTGCTATTCAATAGAATTGATTAAGATGGGTGATCAAGTTGCTGCTACTGAATCTTCTCGAGATTCTCCAAAAACCTTGTTTAGAAGCATGGCTAATCGCACTCCACCTTGTGCTATTCGTTTCATCACTATTGGAAGTCTTGAATTGAAGTAATCATCTGTACAAGAAAGAAAGAAGAAAAAAAGGACAAAAAACGTCACATAAAATTGCCTCTTTTTTTTTTTTTTGTGCTAATATATATTACTATAATTTATTTTCCAATTTTTTTGATACCTGATAAAGTTTCACCAGCTTCAACACCTTTGTATCCCCACTTGCAAGCTATATTAATGCTTTCCGTAGCAAACCTGGAAAATCACATCAAATATTATTTTCCCTTTTTCTTAGTTTTTCTGGATGCATGTTTTTTTTTAAAGTTCTTTCTGAAATATCTTCTTCAGTAAGACAAGTGAAAAGGTACAGTTATTATTGAGGTGGTAAGTTTTACCGTCAAGAGGTGTGGTGGGATGATTGAGATTTTTTCGCCCTAATTCAAAAGTCTCAAGTCTTGAGTGATGAGATGGAAGAATCTTTTAGTAAGGAACATTTATCCCTCTTAATAAGCCTAATCGGCTCAAATTTGGATTAATCAGCAGCTTACTGGCTTCTATTACCGAATGTTTGTAAACAAAAAAATGGTAAGTTTTGAAAATTAATATTTGCTTATAACTAAGTTTCCCTAACTTGAATGTGAAATTTACCTTCTTAATGCTCAACTTTAAAAGAGAGAATTTCTAAGAACATATAGTACTAAATTCCACCACTCATACTTGTCTTGCTTTTTGGGCAAGGTTCAGACAAGAGTACGGCATCTTAAGTCTAACCTTAGCATGCTCCAATGTCAAACCCGTTGGGCCAACCTACCAAGTCCGAGCCCAACAAAGCTTGCACTAATTGGGCTTCATAAGAAGTGGACTAGCTCAAGAAGCCCATTCAAGTTGACATGGCCCAACTTACTCTCTTCTTATTATCTCAATCCACCAGTGAAGTGTATAAGGTTTCAATTCTATACCCCGAGAGCTAAATTTTCTATTTTATTTTATATTATATTATCAGGTTATTAAAAGTACTACCCATAAAAAATGGAATCACAGCTTGAAAAAATAAAGCGAATAACCTTCTACACTAGATTAAATCGCATTAATCGTGTAAATATTCATTTACACTATGACAAATTCAGTGTTTATTAATACTCCCCCATTTTTTTTACCATAATATTGTTATAAAATCTTTTAACGTTTTAAATAAACTTCTTTTTATTATTCTATTTTTAAATTAAGAATTAAAGATTCATATCTGCGCTGTCTATACCTTTGGATTGCCAGCATACAGATTCAATCAGGTGTCATGGGCACGACTTAAAATGAAGTAACTACATTGAGACACTGACCCAAATAAAATTGGATCACACCAAGATTTTGGTGACTCCTTTTTATTAAAACAAAATGACATGGTATGCTAGAAGAAAGTAAGTTTCTTCTTTTTGGTTTATCATCTAGTTTCTGAAGCGTATTGGCTCGATTAATTTGGATTTGCGACGGATAAACCTACTAAAGAGAGTTAATCAATCCCTTGCCAAAGGTTTTCCATTCTTATTTTAGGGCACGAATTTCAAACCTTTAGTTAAAGGTGGAGGAATTCGGAACAACTTACCATTAGTAGAAAATAAGTTATTTGAGCGATAAACTGAAAAACAAAAAGGAGGAAGAACTCACTTGTTGACACAGGAAAAGAGATCGCCACATTCCCTCCAGGAAGCAAGATCATCGGACCAGATTCCCTGAGTATGTTCGTTAACCCCATCAATCTTACAAATAAAATTATTATTCTATGTGACAATTTTAATCTAAACAAAATTGCCAAAGGTCTTACGTCAGTGAAGTTTCCTTCAATGTCTTTTTCAAGGAGGTCTACATCCTTTGCGTAGTAGTCTTTTGCAGCGGTTAGAATGATCTCTCTATCCCATACCTATACCATCAATTTCTATTTTTTTATATACAAATAATACAAGCCACTAATATTTTTTCTGATAATTACAGTATATAGATTTGTTTCTTATCTTTTATCATAGCCGGATTTAAGCTTAACATAATGACTTTGGATCGTACAGATCTATACATGTACAAATTTATGTATAAATTAAATCGTATCCACAACCTGAACTCGCTAATTTTAAATCATGGATCTGACTCTACTCATATACATACTTACGTGGTGCAAGTTTGATTTGTGCCTAAACCAGCGTAAATCAATAGTATTTCCTCCTGCGTCACTTGTAAAGCCAACATGCAATGGCTGAAATCACCAAAACCACAAGGGAACAAGTTATTTTGTTTATTTTTGTAAAAAAAAATAAAAAAAAATCATAAGCTGCTATTAATTATGTAATGTTCAAATTGAAGCTTCCAACGCAAAAAAGAGTTGGTGCATACTTGATGAATATCTCCCATGAAATGTGACAAGAATAACAAGGCCTCTGTCATATTATCTGTAATTATCAAACCCCAAAAGTTTAATTAAAACGAATCATAACTGAATCACCTCATACAATACGAGAAAATGTCACCAAGCTCTTGAACATCAATCTCTATAGGTAAAATTATTTAATTTTAAGTTCTCTCGAGTTTCAGTTTTATTTACTGACAATATAAAAAATTTACTATTTTGATTCTTACGTCGGCGATCCGAAGTTCCCTCTCGGTAATGAGAGAGCTGAGTGGTAAAATTCTGGATTGCACCAGCAACACACATATCCTTCACTCCATGTTGATCGTGACAGTCCCCTTTTCACCATACAAAATAATACTATGAGTTCATTGCCCAAGTAATAATATTACAGGATCAAAATGTGAAAAAAGAGAAAAAGACATCACATTTTTTATATAAGCATTTAACTTACTATCATAGTCAAAGTTGCAAGCTTTATCAGGGGTATCAATGAAGTGTAGAGGACTTGACCACCTATACTTATACCAATGCCGGACTTGGTCCGGCCACACGCAGAGTGCCGATAAGTCGCCGTTGACATATTCCGGCAACAACATCTTAACTGCATGAGCTGCCTCATCATTCAACAGGTCCTATTTTCACATGAAATAACTCTTCTTATTCAAAAAAAAAAATATTCACATTAATAGAATTAAATTTACATGTGAGACTTAGGAGAATTAAAATTTTTGTCTTGCTTAATGAATATCAAGAAATTTTATATACGTGAATACCTGGGCGATCTGACAAGTCATCATATGACCCTCTTTGCTCCATGCTTTAACACCAGGTTGGGTGATAAAAGCAAGACAGAAAAAGAAAATACTGCATAATGATGTTAACCTCAACATCCTCAAAGAAGTTAAAATGGATTTATAACTTGACATGTACCAGAAACAGAAATGTTCCACTAAGATGAGCTTGTTCTATATATACAAAATGTTGTTGTTATTGTGTACAAGCTAACGGTTCCTCCTATCTTAAGTAAATAGAAGTAGATTATTCATAAAAGCAACATAGAGCATATTCTAATGTTGCCTGCAGCATCTATCACATGTGGTGACTAGTTTTACATTTAAAGGTACATTTTATTACAGTTTTTTAAGTAATGTTGACTTATAAGGCATTTTAGGTAGGCTTCATTTCTTGACGTGAGGGAAACTCCAAGTTATGAAGGAAGTTGCATTTGCGTGGTCCCCTACTTGCGACTTTCTTCTGCAGTTTATCTTCATTACTTCGCTGTTATCTTCATTGTGCAGCAAATGGTTGCTTACTGAAAATTCGGTTGAGAACTTCGGCCAAGCGGATCCCACTTTGCGCTAACCTCTTCTCCACAACAGGAAGCCGAGAGAGGAAGTAATCGTCTAGGCAACAAACAGACAATTGAAGATTAGTGAACTAACAGACATGGCATTATACTGAATATAGTCAATGTCAGCTAATTACTGTTACGGAAAGAATGTAACTGTACATAGCTAGGCTTTCCATCATTCCATGTACATATGGATCAATACATTTATAGGTAGTTGATTTGTAGAGAATCAAGAAAATGGCCCTATCTACAGGCAAAGCAAGATCATTTAATAATAGTGAAGAGATAAGTACGACAACTACTAAAAATATACACATCAGTCTAATTATTATCAACCAGGGCAAAAAGGACTTCCCAACATCACGTAACAGCATGTTCAAGAATTGGTTGATAATTGTCAATTTAAATTTCATTACAGCATCAAGAGCTCAATTATTACTTGGGTTTTCCCATAGTCAGAGCCACAAAGAAAAGGCTTTCTCTGATGACAGTCAGATTAAGAAGCAAAACTTGTTCATAAAGCAACTTCGTCTTTAACCTTTTACTGATCTACTTGGACGATTAAGATTTAGAGGGTTTTCCAATATAATTTTGGATCTTTATGAATGTCAAGCATGTCATTCAAATAAACGTTGGAAAGTGAAAGAAGACCACAGAGAATCAGTTTTTACCTCCTAAAGTGCTTCCTGGAGTTGCATTTCTGTAGGCAAATTTGCAGGCCAAACGGACACTCTCAGAAGCATACCTGTAAAAGCATGTTCCTCAAAGTAGTGCGCTGTTTTTATATATATGTATGCATGTACGTATGTATGCATGTACGTATGTATGCAAGGATCACACCCCTATAATGCGAGACTCGATAATCCTTGAAGACAAGAACTCATAAATAAATACTTACAAAAAATTGTATCTCCACATTAGCATACTGGTGCAAGATGACAAATGTAATTGATGTGGATATATTGATAGAATTCTTCAATGCCTTACATGAGTAAGGTCTAGAGGTTTTGCTTTTTGTAATGCACATACCAACACACCTACTTGGTGCCACTTTTTTAATAATGTTTGCCTTACATTAACTAACAGCTTTTACATCGCATATGAGATTCTCCACGCAAAAAATAAAAAACATCTAGCTCTGATCTGACCATATATTGAGCAAAGTCAAAGATCAGAACACCGTAATCCACAAAGAAAAGAGGGCGGGAGAATGGGATGCAGGTTCTAACGGACCAAAAGGAAAAGAAAAAGAATAAACTTACGGGTCAGGACAGACCATCTTCTTGCAATTTTCCCAAGATGGAACATCATCGGACCATTCATCCTATTTCCAGTTACAAATACATAAATTACAAGTGATGACGGGAATAAAGAGAATAGAAGACAGGATCAAAAATTAAACCGTCTCTTTTCTTTTGACAAGCATCAAGAACACAATGTCTTCTCCAGGTCCTGAGAAGCTAGTGAAAAGAGACATACTCAAACTGCTAAATTTTGAGCTTAACAAGTTCGAGAGTTAGTGTTTTCTATACATTCAAAACGAAAGGAATATTGCATGAACTTGAATAGGCATGGTAGAGATCTCAATTACATGCTGTTGAGGAACTTCCAGTCACCGAAGCAACTCTCCTTAGAGATAGTGGTTGAACGTCCTTATAACCTTTTGAACATCCATTTTGTAAACATTCATCTTATTTCTTGAAAACTATCTCCATTTACATACATATTGCAGAAAGATTTTCCAGATAAGCTAGGGAACACAATATATTACATATTGCTGGATCAGAAAGTGGAATCCATGTGAAGTAGATTTTGACTACGACTTCAGAGACTCGGTTTATGCTGAAAGGATAGTAATATTTTCTTTAAGAGAATAAAACAGAGTGTGAGACTCTTTTCAATGAGCACTGTGGCACTGGGATGATGAAATCCTCCCACAATTCATGCACAATATAACAATTCCCAACTTCACCTTTAGAAATGTAATGGTCATATCTCTACCGAACAGATATTTAATACTTTGCATGAAGACTCAACAAAAACTTACAGTGATGTTTCTCAGAAGAGCTTGTATCATTAACGTGAGGTCAGACTTGTAGTATGTCTTCAATGCAGATTCAATAATCATGGTATCCCATACCTGAATGAAGTAAACAAGAAGTTACAGTGACTGTTTCAAAATAGATATCTAATTTGTGCACGGTTCACATAAATAGTTTAAGTTTCAAGATACACCTCTTCTCTTATGCTCATACGGATTAAGATGCATATACTACTTATCTAGTATCATTTGACAGTTAAAATCTAAGAAGAGGCAAACATGCTCAGAACTTGCCTTTTGTTTTCAGAGTAGAGAAAAGTGAATAAGTAATTCGAGAGGTTGAAAGAAGGTACGATCTATATATATTTCAAACAAAAGGGAAGTAACACGAAGTGAAGAAATCCGCTCGAAGATGTTACACCTCAACAATTTTACTCAGTGACCCAAAAAAATGAGATCAGAATGAATTGATACTCGAAAGAAACTCACGACCTACATGATGCAAATTAGTCTTCCTCCTGTACCAACGGACTATTATAGTGTTTCCACCAACATCTCCAGTGAAACCAACATGTAGAGGCTGCACACAGAAAAGATAATAAGACAAAACTAAGTTTAGCTTTCAGGACTTTTTTTTATCACCACTCAAATTTGGACGCAAGTTAAAGAAACATCAAATATATGCTGTACAAGCTTAGGATTTGGTGAAATTTGCCTCACGGTCATAATCTTTTTAATCAGTAATCCTGTCTCTCGATCATAATCAAGACATCAGCACGATAGGAGGTAAACAAACAACTGGTTTATGAAAAGAAAAATAATAATGGCATATCTAATGGTTCAATTCCATGTACCGTGGATAACTTCTTCATCAGTTATGCGGGATATTTCTACACCAGAGGTATAGCAGTATGGACATTGTTATTTAAGACTAAACGAAACTTTCATTTAGCAAGTTTTTAAAACTAAAAGAAACTTATCTAAGTAGTTCCAAACGTTTATATGCAGACTCATACATTTATGTTTATTTACAGTAACATACACCAAGGTTCCAGGAAAAGTGAGCTGACCTGATGTACATCACCAACAAAATGAGACAAGAACATAAGCGCTTCAGTNAACAGAAAAAATGTCAACAACGAAACGCTGGATCCAGTTGAGGTACATTGACTTCAGTGCACCAAATAATAATAGGAAATGCAGACACGACTTATAAAACTTTTACTGTACCTCTCTTTTCAATTGATTTCTAGGGATAAAGTCTTGATACCAAAGATGAATAGCTAAACATAACCAAAAAATTAACAAATATTTATATAGTACAATTATATGCAGTGTCACTTACGGCAATATTTGTAATTGCACAAGAAATCAGGGGTATCTACATAATGTAA